CACTTATTGATGAACATACTTTTACATGTTGACCAAATAGTAAATTTAAAAACTACAAAAAAACAACAAAAAAACATTTCGATTTAGTTTACTCTCAATTTTCTTTGAACTCTACGTTGGTTATTAACCATATATGGAAGAAATTCACAAGGGGATAAACACACTCTTACATGTTAATCGAAGAATGGATGTAAAAACAACAATAAAAACACAGTTCGATTTAGTTTACTCTCAACTTTCTTTAAACTCTCGAACTGTGTTTTTATTGTTGTTTTTAAATCCATTCTTCGATTAACATGTAAGAGTGTGTTTATCACCGTGTGAATTTCTTCCATATATGGTTAATAACCAACGTATTTAGTTTCTCTCAATTTTCTTTGTTCTCAACGTTGGTTATTAACCATATATGAAAGAAATTCACACGGTGATAAACACACTCTTACACGTTGACCGAAGGGTGGATTAAATAAACAAAACAACAACACTTAGATTTAGTATATTCTCAGTTTTCTTGGAGTTCTAACGCTGGTTATCATAACAGTCACGTTTACCATATTGCATATATTAAGTACAAAGTATAAGAACATTTGATATTAAAATACCTGAATTACACAATTACTATTGGTAAGAGAATAATTCATATTTACTTCACTAGCGAAATCGGTTTCAAATAAGTATCCCTTCTCTATTCTTAAAGAGCGGTCGAACAAACCACATATTATACACTAGCAAAAAGGTAAACCCTCTCTTTCAGATGGAATATATAAAGCATTCAAACTACACAAATTCATATTCTACGCCGAAATATATATACAACATCACTGGATGGCAATCTTTAGGTGAATTGAAAGATTTCATATAACCGTTTATCTCGCATGTTAAGCTACTCGTTTGTGAGCTATCGTTGGTTACTAGATGTTGTGGTGAATTAATTAAAGTTTTGCATATATTGGCGCCACGCTTTTCAAAACATAGCAAGAGAATCCTTGACAATGTAAGTTATAGCCTATTTCTTATTTAGTAAAAAAATCATCAACAGTATTGGTTAACTTGTTTAATATATATACACATTTCTTTATACATTTTATATTTTTAATGATGACCATTTTCTACTGTTAGCTTAACAGATTGAGTTAGAAACCTTCTAAGTTGACTGAACCTCACTAACAGCGAGGGTACCCAGCTAGTGTATCAATACAACTGAATCATTATAAGTAATAACGGCATGTTAATTTAGCTTTTTAAATACTGGGTTATTTTCTAGCTCTGATCGATATAAATCAGAAGTTAAATAATAAATCATTGTAGTCTTCATTTGGTTTGTTACCTAATATAAGCTGGTACGCTGTCACAACACCATTCTAGTGTAGCTGCAAGAACAGGTGGATGAACCGATATGACCAAAGTGTTTCCAGTAACAGCAAGTTGATAATTTTGTAGGAAAACTTTATATAAACAAAGGAACGAGGGAAAACAAATCTAACAACCTTTGAATGGTTAGGGAATATTTCTTAAATTTGAAATAATAAACATATTACCATTTCATACAGTGTAGAGTTTTATTACGAATACTTTTGCTAATTTCACTCATTATGAAAAACATAAATATATTACGTAGCCAGAGATGACACAAAACAATCAGAACAATTATAAGAACTACGATGACATTTCAGTTAAAACTAACTAGCCGAAGGTTAATAAAACTAATATTATAGAATGTTCTTTAAAAAAGGATAAGAAATACATTTATTTTTCATTCTCTTCGGTTCTTTAAATAAATGTATGTTTTCCATTATTAGTCACGGATGCAGAGGTTCTCTTTCTTCCCAATCATCTGGGGTCCTCGAGGGTGTTTCGACTTCTTCTGAGCACTCGTTACACCAAGTACTTGTGGTACGCCAACACCTGCTCTTACGTTTAATAAGGACAATAACAGCGGCAAAAATGGACATTATGATGAAAGTTCCGCCCACGTACCACGAAAACATCAAAGACACCCAGGTGCATACCTTATCAGGTTTGTTTGTACTGGAAATCCATTGACATAAATACGGAGTAGATGAATATGCACTTTTGAGTAAGAATCCCATTTGAACTGACCAGCATCCTTGCAACAAAGTGAAATAGGACCGCAGAAATTTCAAAGGAATGTGGGTGGGGAAGCGCATTTCTGCAAGAGTAGAGATAACACAGAGTATTACTGTACAAATCATGAGATAATGTACTTCTTTCTCTAAAGATGATTTTGTCTCCGTGTTTAAAAACATCAAAGTCTCGACACCAAACGCAAGGGCTAACACAAAATTACTGGTTCCTTTTGGAAAAATAATATTGGAGTAACACAGAATGTCAACAATCCCAGATAGCACAAACATGCAGTACATGGAAACATGCTGAATGTCTTCCAACTTTCTGAACTTTCCCTCCGGGAAGGCAGCAAACATTTCTCCTGCAATGCCGATAACAGCGCAAGAAATTTTTAGCATGCCTTCCAATAGCCAACGACGGTGCTGTAGACAGAAACCACGTAAATTGCATCCCTTGGATTCCATTGTTTCAGTCTGAGCTTTACTTGAGGAAGATGGAGTTTGCTGGTCTCTCAGTTCCGCTCGGTAGCCGAACTTCCACCGTCGCACCCGAAATCCTCTCTGTCGTCGGGCTTCTAAAAGCAATACATGTTGTAGCGTCCAGTAAAGTGAAAACGAGATAAAAAATGCACCTAGAAAAACGCAGTCAGATATGTTTTTCATTCTGTTTAAGGTTTCCTATATCGTGCGAAGAAATCTTAACTCAGTATGTTAACAATTAAATCAACCAGTTTTCAAGCAATGTTAAAGTGTTGCTTAAAAACCTTCTAATGATACATTTATGTGTATTTTATTAATCAAATTATACCACATTATTTTAAGTTATTATTTCACATTACAATATTATGTTCGGAGTCAATACCAGGCTTTCTTCTAGTTTGTGGCTTGCTCGATTTTTATAGAGAGTATAATATATATATATATATGTATACTTCAGTAAAGGTGTTTACTAGCGTGATCAACCTCCCTCTCGAGGTTAATAACTTCAAACATAAAATACAGAATTTTAATTTGGCAATAAGTATGGATGAAATGAACTTTCTGGGTGCGGTTTGCCTCGTGGAAAAGTTGTTCTAACACATTTCATAGCAGGTCCACCCAGCGGGGGACGCCACCTGGTGGGGATCTTCTAGCCATAAATCCTGCAAGGAAGAGGAAATGTCAGCATCAGTTGGTGAAGAAACGGAAACTGTGGAAGCTGCCTTGCCTCTGGCTATTACGTTTAACAGATAAATGATTAGTTTCCTGTCAGTGAGACAAGTTATTTTTATGGTAAAGAAACAAAACTAAACAGGTTTAAAGAACAGAGAAAAAAAAACAAGAAATGTTGAAGAGCTTGTAATACTTCCTTTGAATATTAATAATTTCCAAAACTAACAAATAATTGATCAAAATTAAAGAATTGTCTATAATTTTTTTTTATCATGAGAAAAACCATAGACAGTAATATTTGTATAAATCCAACGTATAAACAAAATAAACTAAAATTACAGAACTGAAGAAATGAACTACCTGAAGCTAGAAATATTAGTCAAATTTAGTACGAAAAATTTAAGGTTAAATGAAAATGAAAAATAATCTGTGTTGGTTTATGTATAGGTAGTCTGGAGATCATATGTTAAAATACACATTGTCTGCATTTCATATGTTAATTCTACAACTAGCAGTGGCCAAAGCATCTCAGCTGAAGAGTTTCGCGGCTCCTGTCTCTGAAATACAAGTAAACAATTGTGTTACATGATTTCAGACAACCTGTAAATATATAAATAAACATCTGTAAAGTCCTCTGTAGCTAACACACCTCGGATTTTAATAAAAGTGTTTCAGTACTGGATAATTCAAACTCAGGTTACAATCTAGCACAACATAGTGTGAAAAAAATCAACTACAAGTTTCGAAATACAAAGATCTAGCGCTTAATTACGCCTAGTGGTATATCTGAATACCTCTTTTTCTGTCTTTAGTAGTCTTTAGTTTGGAATATCAACACTATACAAATTATATTTGTAACAAGCACAAAGCAGCAGAACGGGTTACCTGCGTTGTGTCTACCACGGGTTTGTTTTTTGTTTTTGAATTTCGCGCAAAGCTACACGAGGGCTATCTGCGCTAGCCGTCCCTAATTTAGCAGTGTAAGACTAGAGGGAAGGCAGCTAGTCATCACCACCCACCGCCAACTTTTGGGCTACTCTTTTACCAACGAATAGTGGGATTGACCGTCACATTATAACGCCCCCACGGCTGAAAGGGCGAGCATGTTTGGTGTGACGGGGACTCGAACCCGCGACCCGCAGATTGCGTTTTAGTGTTATGAGTACTTAAGTTTACCTTAAGCCAGAAAGAGAATTTTATTTCTCATCTTGGAACACCAGTGGCTTAAATTCTCACTTTGTCTGTAACCTTAAACGAAGTTTTATTTTAGAATACCGCTGCGTTAATTATTTGGTTTGCTGTAACATTAAGTTTTCACTTTTTGCTCGTCTTTTCTGAATGCTAATACATTTAGTATACCTAGTCCAATCTGTGGCTTTGTATAAAGCTCAGTAGCGATGCTTACGTAGAACCTTATCCAGTTTGTAAGAATACATAAAACCAATTCTTAAATTTATCATGAAGTTTCAAATAACAACAGCGTATTCATATTATATTTATGAATGTTGAAGCCTTTTTCTTTCAACACATCTTTGACACAAGTGCTCGAATTGCGGGGGAACTGAAGGGAACACCGTTCCCATTGTTAAAATGAAATATCAATGTCATCCCCCTTGTTAACAAAACCACCGTTAAGGGGAAAGTTTTGAGACTTCACTGACTGACTTGTATGTATGGGGGGACACGTGCATACAGCTACAGACGTACCGTATTCTCACTGTGCCAAATATCATCTTATTAACCATTGGTAAAGAGTTATTGTTAAGTTTTGATTTTGTTCTAATTAATAAATGAGAGAATTAGGTTCATCGTTTATCTTCCAGTACCATTATAGTGTACACGTTTTTATGTATTTTATGGAGTTATTCTTGCTAAGCAGTTACCATTCGAGCACAGTTCGACAAGTTACAGTATCATAATCATTTTTAGACCAAGCCATAATGGTAGAAATCGATAACAGAATAAATAAGAATACTTGGTTGTTTTAAAGATATATTTTTTTTAGATGTTCATAAGCGTTATAAAAGTTCGTGGGTTTAAAAACATCGTGTTTAAGTGTGTTCCAATCCTCACATTATACCTCATCCTAACTCCACACTATATATTTGTTGTTCCAATATTTCAACCTCATACATTAACATCTTTAAATTGCTTAAAAAATTCCGTTGAGTGATTAAGAGATCATGAATGAACTTGAAAGCTTGTGATATAATGTAGAGTTGGCCTGGATGTTTAATTATTACCACATTTAAGATATTAATGAATACATTTTTGTGTCCAGATAGAAAAGTATTTCAGTTATTATACAACTCTTTTGAACTTCAGAACATCCCAAGGGTGTACATATATAAATATCTTTGTGTGTGTGTGTGTGTGTGTGTGTGTATGTATGTATACCTTAACTAAACTTTCTTAGTTTAGACTACTACCGAAAGGTATACTTATTTATATATATATATATATACCAATCCTTACCTAAAAACTTTCTAGTTCAGACATTTAAAGTGTATACTATATATATATATATATAGTGTGTGTGTGTGTGTGTGTGTGTATACCTTGCCTAAACTTTCTAGTTTAGATATTCCAAAGGTATACTTATTTAGATATATATATACCAATCCTTACCTAAAAACCTTCTAGTTAAGACATTTAAAGTGTATACACACATATGTGTGTGTGTGTGTGTGTGTATTTGCGCGCCAATCCTTAAGTAAAACCTTTCTAGTTCAGATGACCTCAAAGTAATATATCTGTATATATCCTTCTTTATACAAAACATCTTTTGAGTGATGAATACACGCGAATATGGAAGTGATAGATCAAATGAATTCAAAATCTGAGTGTTTTATAAGCATCATACAGAATAGTGAATGCCTAAACCAAACTTTTGTCTAAATAAGTTTTTTAATAGTATTTAATACTCGGGTAACTTGTGATAAAAGTTTGTTTTGTTTTGTAATTAAGCACAAGGCTACACAATGGGCTATCTGTGTTCTGCCCACCATGAGTATCGAAACCCGAATTCTAGCGTTGTAAGTCCGCAGACATACCGCTGTGCCACTGGGGAGGCTGTGATAAAAGACTAATTAACGTTGTTGAGGGACCAAGGTCGAACTTTCGATCCATCTTGATTTTGATAATCATTCGAAGATAACGAAAAGAAAAATCAAATCTCTTAGTTTCATTACAGATGTTGTTATTAGTTAAGTAACGAGTGAAATATTTCAACTAGACTTGACATGCAACATCATTGCTTATTATCAATCCTCAACCCGATATGCAGAAGAACACTACTCTAGAGAAAAGATGAAACAACATTAATTTTAAAAGAATTTTCCAAGTGATCAGTAGACCATGGAAGAACAAACATGTCCATGAACCATTTTTTTTATAACCATAGAAAGACGTTAAGACTTTAAGTACAGTTCAGTGACAATTACAAGGCATATAACGCCCTCTAGTGGCGCTACTGTATAAACCATATAATTATAGCTGTTTTGTTGTCATTAACTGAGAACAACAGACATAGTTCCGATTTTATCCACTTTCTCAAACTAAATGAATCGTCCCTATTAGCTCACGAACAACAAGACTACTTTATGGAGAATTTCGATTTTAGTTATTGTAAATAGTATTTTTACATCAGTACATGAACACGGTGAGAGCACTTCATTCAAAGCTTGCAGTTTATATAGTGCAGTGTTTCCTAAACGGTAGGTCGCGAACAGGTTTCCAGGGGTTCACGAGCTGTCTGCGCTGAGTAGTGTATTTATTTTTTTGAGTCCTCGAGGTGTACATATAACCTTTGTTATGAACTATGACGAACTGCGACAAGAAACATCAAGAATGTTTTCATTCTTGTTAAGATAACAGGGGGTCGCGACGAACAAAGCCCGGACGCGGGTGTCGTCTGGCAAAACCGGCTGAGAAACACTGACATAGTGCTAAGCTCTTTATGTTAGTGCATGAGCACGACGAGAACACTTTATTCAGTGTTTGTTGTTTATATAGTGAGTGTTAAACTCATTATATTAGTACATGAACACGAGGAGACTTCATCTGGAGTTTGCTGTTTATATAGTAGTTAAGTTCTTTACATTAGTACATGAACTTGATAATAGTATGTTATTTTTTAATTTTAACGTTTTACAAAAAAAGTATATATTTTTAGCTTCAATTTACAAAACAGAAAAGTCAGATGAAACAGTTCTAAACCATTAAATTTACTGCAACACCATAATTGTAATGTTTTAGTGTTTTTAAAGGTAATCTTTTATGATCTTTAATCGACTGAGAAAGAATGAAAGGTGTAAAAATTTCATTTAACAATAACCTTTAGACTGAATATTAAGTAGGCTACTTTGTGAAATCTCATGCTGCTTTACTTTTATTAAAATGACGTATCCTGTGATATATAGATTTATAATATTAATTGGAAGAATGTTTAAACAAGTCAATCTTACCTCCACATCCATGGCCAATAACTCTAATAATAATAACAGATTATGTATGATATATTTATTATTATTATTATTATAGACTCCCAAAAGTTTTGAAACGTGGACGAAACAGATAACAGTTGTCAAATTAAGAAAATTAACTTCAGCTAAAAAACAACAGGCTAGAGCACTAATTGTATAACTTCCCACGGTCATTCAGCTTCAGTCATTTATGGTGAATCCTCCTAAAACACCACAGCTATTTAGTTGCAAAATAGTCACGGGCGTATAGTGGCTGCTATAACTACGACCAACAGCGGCCAGACTAATCCAAGTAACCCTAACCGCAAACACTCCTCCGTATAAAACACAAGTACGTGTTTGACGCAGGAAATACGGGTCAGACGGTGAATCTTAATAGCGGTGGAAAAAGGTTGGGCACTACAAGAGAAAGCTAGTTTTTTTCTTGGCTCATTATAGCAATTGACCAGCTTGACAGGGCAAGTCCAGCCTGGAGGCTATGGTCGTTTGTTAGAAGACTCATGAAA